GATGGCTGTCGGAGAGAGGGAATGATTTTTCTAACCTGCCTCCACCCTTCCTGGTGCCATGGGAGGCAGACACCAAATTCTGGGGTCTCCAGCTGCAGTGGGTGACCGCTGACCGCTTCTCCCTATCCAGACTAATGAGAACATGGAGATCACCAGTGCACTGCAGTCGGAGCAGCACGTCAAGAAGGAGCTGGGAAAGAAGCTGGGCGAGCTGCAGGAGAAGCTGAGCGAGCTGAAGGAGACGGTAACCCCACCCCATCCAAGAAGGGCTGGGAGGCGGGCACCAGCCTCTGGGGACGGGAGGTGTGAGGCCAGAAGCAGCTCCATCCTGGGGGACAGGTGACCCCAGCACCCTGCAGGGAAGTCCTGTGACTGTTTCTTGCTTCCTACCCTCAGACTTTTAGAAGTGGGTAGCCCTGGGCTCCTCTCAGGTCTGGACATCATCATTCCAGCTAGAGGCATGGAGCCCCCAGTCATAGGGAAAGAGGGTGGGATAAGAGGCTTTTTAGATTCAAACTGGATTCCGACCTCTCCTCCACTGGTCACCATTCAACTACATCACATCTCTAAGTCTCGGTTTCTTTAACTTAAAAAGGAAGTTTATTAAATGAGATAATATGTGGATAGCGTTAGGCATGTAGCACACTTAGCAGATGGTGGTTGACTCCCTCTCTATTTCCACCAGTCTGTGGCCTACAGATTAAGTGGTGGGAACAAGGGTGTGAGATTTGAGGCTGGGGAAGGAGGCATGAGGCTCTAGGCAAGGTAGGCAGTCATTTAGGCCTGGAGCAAGGGGCCAGGGGTCTGGGCAGGCGACAGAGCCCCAGCGTGCCCTTGCTACCCTATTTATAGGCCCAGAATCTGGAAGTCAGCCACCACCTGCCCTCACGCCCAGGGTCTTCCTGCAGGTGGACCTGAAGAGCCAAGAGGCTCAGAGTCTGCAGCAGCAGCGAGACCAGTACCTGGGACACCTGCAGCAATACGTGGCCGCCTATCAGCAGCAGGTGGCTGCCTATCAGCAGCTGACCTCTGAGAAGGAGGCGCTGCACAACCAGTTGCTGCTGCAGACCCAGCTCGTGGACCAGCTGCAGCAGCAGGAAGCTCAGGGCAAAGCGGTGGCCGACATGGCCAGCCAAGAGTTGCAGGAAATCCAGGTGAGGGAGTTGCTGAGGGCAGGGCCCTGAGGGGGACGACCTGGCAACCTCTGTGCCTTCTCACTCTCTTTCCTGGCCCCTTAGGAGCGCCTGGAAGCTGTCAGCCAGCAGAACCAGCAGCTACGAGCCCAGTTGAGCCTCATAGCTCACCCTGGGGAAGGTATGGGAACCTGCTCACAGGAAGAGGAAAGAGCCCTAGGAGGAATCGGGGACTGTTAGCAGCGTAGGATTAAGGAGTTGGAAGAGACCTTTAGAACAGCTGGTCATTATGCTCACCAGCTGTCCACACTAAGTTGGGCATCAATATAGTGACTTCCTGGGAGCAGGGGACTACCAGGTTGCCTAAGGATGGGTGGACTGGCCCAGGTCAGAAATGGCACAGGTTAGAACTCCTGTGCTGATGGGTAGTGGGGCTACACCTGGGCAACATAGCGAGACCTTGGCTCTTCAAAAGGAATAAAATAAAAATTAAGGACAGCTGTTCATTCCCTCTGGGGAGGGGCTGGCTCAGGGTTACACAGTGAGGGCGGGGGCAGAGGTGGGCCCACTGTACCCTTGTTGGGTTGTCCGATGACCCCTCTGGCCACCCCCAATAGGAGATGGACTGGACAGGGAGGACGAGGAGGAGGAGGAGGAGGAGGCGCCCTGGCCAATGCCGAGCATCCCAGAGGACCTGGAGAGCCGGGAGGCCATGGTGAGGCTGACTCCTCCTGCCCCACCTTTGCTGCCTCCCTTTGTGGTCCCTCCCAGACCCCCTTCTCTTGGTTTCCTGGCCTTCTGAGTTCTCTGGACCCTCACCCCTTCCCTGGAAGCCAGTGAGCAGACACCATTTCACCTGTGACCAACAGGTGCAGCCTCTGAGGCCCCAGGGGAACGGCTGCTCTCCACTTCCCTGCCTTGTTCGTCCTGTGTATCCCCATCCAAGAATGCGCCTCTCTTGCCTGCAGGTGGCATTTTTCAACTCGGCTGTAGCCAGTGCCGAGGAGGAGCAGGCAAAGCTACGTGGGCAGCTGAAGGAGCAAAGGGTGCGCTGCCGGCGCCTGGCTCACCTGCTGGCCTCCGCCCAGGAGCCTGAGGGGGCAGCCCCACCCCCAGAGACTGGGGGTGATTCTGTGTGTGGGGAGACCCACCGGGCCCTACAGGAGGCCATGGAGAAGCTGCAGGTGAATGAGTCTCTCCTGGCATGGGCCAAGAAGGATGGGGGTGGGGCAGGTCGCTGCCGAGATGTGACCCCATTATTTTGGCTCCAGAGCCGATTTATGGAGCTCATGCAGGAGAAGGCGGACCTGAAAGAGAGGGTAGAGGAACTGGAACATCGCTGCATCCAGCTGTCTGGAGAGACAGACACCATTGGTGAGTGGGAGGCCACGACATAGCAGGAGGAGGTGCTGTACAGCAATCGGAGGGAACCCAGCATCTAAGCCCTGTTCTCCTGCAGGAGAGTACATCGCACTATACCAGAGCCAGAGGGCAGTGCTGAAGGAGCGGCACCGGGAGAAGGAGGAGTACATCAGCAGGCTGGCCCAGGACAAGGAGGAGATGAAGGTACGGCGTGGAACATCTCTGTGGGGTGGGCACGGGCACGGGCACGGGCACGGCAGCTGAACATCCCTCCCTCCAGGTGAAGCTGCTGGAGCTGCAGGAGCTGGTGTTACGGCTTGTGAACGACCGCAATGAGTGGCATAGCAGATTCCTGGCAGCTGCCCAGAACCCTGCAGATAAGCCCAATCCGGGGGCCCCAGCCCCCCAGGAGCTTGGGGCTGCCAACCAGCAGGGTGGTGAGTAAGAGCCCTCGGGAGGTGTGGGCAGGCAGGAGCAAGGGAGGGCTCACACGGCGCTCAGAGCCCTGCCTCTCTCTCTCCAAAGATCTTTGTGAGGTGAGCCTCGCCGGCAGCGAGCCTGCCCAAGGAGAGACTGGAGAGGGTTCTTCTCGAGACAACCCCACTGCACAGCAGATAATGCAGCTGCTTCGTGAGATGCAGAACCCCCGGGAGCGCCCAGGCTTGGGCAGCAACCCCTGCATTCCTTTTTTTTACCGGGCTGACGAGAACGATGAGGTGAAGATCACCATCATTTAAAAGCTGGCCACTATCCGCAAAGCCTGAAGAAGTGGGGCTAGAGGCCCTGCCCTGACCATGTCCCTACCATCCCTTCCCAGTCACCCCTTTACCCTTACAGTAGCAAGCATACAACCCCTGTGTAATGAGGGTAGACAGGTGCAGATGAGGTGAAGATCACTGTCATCTAAAAGCAGGCCTCTAAATTAAAAAAAATTAAGTTATGGGACTAACAGTTATGGGATGAAAAAGGTTATGCGATAAAAAAGTTATGGTATAAAAGTTACGAAAAAAGGCCAGGCATGGTGGCTCACGTCTGTAATCCCAGCACTTTGGGAGGCCAAGGCGGGTGGATCACCTGAGGTCAGGAGTGGAAGGCCAGCCTGGCCAACATGGCGAAACCCCGCCTTTACTAAAAATACAAAAATGAGTCTGGTGTGGTGGCCTGTGCCTGTAATCCCAGCTACTCAGGAGGCTGAGGCAGGAGAATCGCTTGAACCCAGGAGGTGGAGATTGTGCCGCTGCACTCCAGCCTGGGTGACAGAGCCAGACTCCATCTCAGAAAAAAAAAAAAAAAGTTACAGGATTAATATGTCGGGATAAAATTAAAAAAAAACAGGCCACTGTCAGCAAAGCCTGGAGAAGTAGGGCCGGAGGCTCTGCCCCCATCATGTCCCTGCCCTTTACTCTTACAGTAGCAAAATAAGACCCCCCCTGTATAATGGGGGGAGACAAACGTGCAGACCCTTTGCCACCTTGGCCAGGGCCGACTCCTTACATTTCTGGATGATGAATATTGTTAAGGGTCAGATGCTTATAGAATTTGCTTGTTTGGAGGAGGCCTAATGGCCTCCTTACTCTCACCAAAGCAATTTTTCCCTCAGGGGGGCTCCCATCTTCTTACACTGAGAGGCAGCTGAGGCAGGACAGTGGGGCTAACTGTAGAACAGGTGAGGGCACGGGCTGCTGGGGTGGCCCCGCTTCCCCAGTGTATATATTTGTATCTGTGTAACATTTTGTATATTCTGGGGGTAGCGCCGCCCCCTGTATCATACCTAGCAGAGGTTGGAGCTGGCACATGGGAAGGAGGTTCTAATAATTATTCGGGGCTGGGAAACTTATTTATTGATAGCATAGGACAGAGGAGGAGGCGGGGATGGGGTCGTGGCGCCCTGGTGATGCGACTCCTGTTTATTTTGCTTTTTATTTCGGAATAAATGGATTTAGCCATACTGCTTGGCCTGCCATGTTCCTGTTTCCCTCACTGGGTCCTGGAGTTTGTGCCATTGAACAGGAAGCCCCAGAGTGTCTGAGCATGTGCAGCTGGGCAGTTGGGATCTTCTAGGCCTGTTACCTGTCTGAACTATGCTGCCTGGTGACACTTGGGGGATTCCATGGGGACTGCTATGACACCTACAAGGGACAGTCCAGTCCTTATGGCCAACAGGCTCAGATGTCTGATCTAGCGGTGGCCGAGAAGGCAGGGTGCCAGCACCCAAGGACACTGACTTCCATCCAGCCCAGGTGTCTTCTGTTCCATCTCCCTGCCTCCCTTGCTTGTCTGCACCTGGTGGCCTGTTCTGACTGTCCCTCCAGGCTGAGTTCATGGCCCTGCCCCCTAGTGGCCAGAGCCAGCTTCACAGGATGAGAGCCAGCCAAGCTCCAGGGGCTTTCCAGGAGGAGTGTCCCTTGGAGAGGACGTGGTGTTTTCACTGCCCCCAATAGCACCCTAGACATGGCTTAGCCCTTCCCCTCCCCTGAGCTCCAGAGAGAACACACCAGCAGAGGAGACATTCCCCATTATCCAGAAATGGGTTTTATTCTCAGCCGAGGGACAGCAGGACTGGTAGAGACTGTCAGGCCACACGGCTGCCTGCACAGCACCCCCATGCTTGGTGGGGGGTGGGAGGAATGGCGGAGACTGGCTGTCCACAGGCTGGGCATGACAGGGAGGCTCACTGGAGGTGGCACACTTTGGAAGGGGGATGTCGGGGAACAGCGTTCTCTTGTAGTTGGGCCACAAGACTCCACAAGGACAGCACGGTGACTGATTCCCAGCGCTAGAGGTGAGGCGGTCGGCCATGTGTAGGTGTGTATATATATGAGTATTTATAGATATTTATAGAACAGGGCAGGGGCATACCACAGAGGGGACACAAGTTTTCACCAACGGTCACGCCTGGATGTGTGTCAGCTCACCACTACAACAGACTAAGTCACAGATGAAGGGAGCTGGCTTTGGGGCTGGGGGAGCCACTGTCAAGTCACAGAACAGCTGTCCAGGCAGGCTTGGAAAGGGAGGTCTCCGAGAAGAGGAGGGATCTGTTTAGAGGTCGAAGGGGGGCCTGGGACTCTCAGGACGGGATGGACTTGCCTGACCCGATCGGCTGGCAGTTGGAGAGAAAGCAGAGAGAAAACGGGAGAGAAAAAAGCGAGGAGAGAGCTGGTAAGGCAAGTGCAGCACATGGCTGGCCTGGCTGAGTTGCAGCAGTGGTGGGAGGGCAGGGGAGGGGAGGGTGCAAGATTCCTGGAAAAGAGGGACTGGAAGGGAAAGGAGAGGAAGATGGAGGGAGGAGGCGGAGCTTCACAGGTAGTACCTGGGGGCTGCTGTGGCCCTCCCCAGCCCACACACACTGGCCTCTCACACGGCACCCAGGCAGTGCACCCGCAGTTGAGGCTGATGCTCGGCCCCCTCGAGCTTCCCTCTTTTCTGGTCACCCTGTCTTCCAACCCACTGGCCTGGGGCCACCTCTTGCTTTGGGGAGCCCCACACGACAGCCACCAGGCCTGATACAGAAAGAACACTGCTTGAACCAGAAGGGCGAAGCTAAAAGGGATGGCTGGAGGGAGTACTGGAGGCCCCTCTGGGCGGTCAGAAAACCCAAGACCCTCTGAAGGGACCCTGGGGGAAGCAGGGAGGGCAGGCAGCTGGATGCCAGTAGCCATAGACTTATAAGTCTAAGAGGGGAGCCTCAGCTGGTCGGGGGGCTGCAGGTCGCGTAGGTGAGGTTGGGCCCTTCCTGCTGGGAAAAGCAGAAGAGTGAGAGTCAGTGGCAGGAGAAGTGGGGGTGGGCTTGCTGGGCGGAGCTCAGCCCGGCCAGCAGGCGCAGTTGTCCCCTTGGCTGAATGGCACCCTAGGAGTGTCACAGGCCAAGGTGTATGAATCCACTGGCTGGCTATGGTGCTTCAGCTGGGGCCAGGGACACTGCCTTCAGTCACACCCTAGCAGCTATGACGGTACCCAGGAGGGAGGGAAGAGGGCTGTGTGTCCCTGCCTGGCCTGTGAGATGTGTCGTGGAATGACTGTGTATATGGGACTTTAAAGCTTTTACCCTAGATCACCACTGGATTGTCTGCAGATAGAGGGTGGGACTCTTGACTATCACCCCTGCTCTGCAGTGGATCTGGTTCTCGACGCTCCCAGGCTGGGAGCTGGATGCCCTGTCCCGGCAGCATAACTCAGACTGCACAACAGGCACAGCATGCCCAGGATGATGTTTCTAGGCCTCTGGCCGCCTCAAGAGTCCAGCCCCACACACAACCGCCTCCAAGCTCCCAGCCCTTATACCATAAACCATTAGCTCTCTGCCCTCTCCAGAGAGCACCCATGTCTGCCAGCTTGAGCGTGGAGCCTGTTCCAAGGGCCCCTAGGCTCAGCCATGGAGGCCTTGGGCAGTGGCACTGAGTCCCGAGGCTCGCTGGGAAGGGAGGTGAGAGAGCCAGTGGCGCGAGGACAGAAAGAGGAAAGAGCAAGTCTGCAGCTGCAGAAGGGAGGGGTGGGGAGCCCGGCTCTGAGGTCCCAGGTGCGTGCCCCGTGTGGAGCTGGTGCAGCGGGGCAGACACACCATTCATGCAGCAGGCAGTGAGGCATGTACCTACCATGGCTGACGCTCCTCAGGGGTCACTGATAGTGATTCTGAAAGACAGCACGAAATCAACATGGCAGTTCACACGCACGGGTGGGGCAGGCCTGGGGGTGGGGGACACACACACACACACACGCCCGGGCGTGCACACACACATGCTGTGAGGCCCCATGGCCTGCATGCACACGCTAACACACATGCCCACAAACAACACGCATACGCCTCCTTCCCCGCCACCTCCCGGTGCCCAGCACCCTCACTGGCCGGCGCGTGCAGCATGGATCTGGGGCATGCAGCCACCCGGCACACCAAAGCACACACGTGGGCAGAGTCACAACACAGAAGCTCGCCCGCACACAGAGGCATTTGCACCAGCTCCCTGCACACTTGTGCCTGGTGTGCTTAGAGGACCACCCGTGCTGCTCATGGAGACAGGGCTTGCTTGCTAATGTCCAGCTGTCATTTCTCCACCTAAGAGCCTTCCGTGGCTCCCTACTGCCAACAGCATTGAGCCCCAACAAGGCGAACTCTTTAGACTTTGAAGGTTCTCCACCCCATGCCCCACCCTCGCCACAGAGCTCTTCCTCATTCTGTCTCTGTTCTCTGCTTTGGCCAGTGGCTGTCCTCGATGCAGCCCACACTACATCTCTGCCCACACTGCAGCTCTTTACCCAGATACCCTCCCGATTCCTTGCCACATAAGCCTATCTCAGTCATGCCTCGGACTGCACTGAAGTCAGGTTGCCTTGAAGAAGCTTTCCCAGACTACTCTTTTCCCCAAGGCAGGTCCATGATTTGCCCAATGTTTTGTATGTGTTAGCAAGTCTGGAGTCGGAGCAGGCATCAAACCTTACATCCCATATGGCACACCACACCACAGACCTGAGTGCCAAAAACCCTGAAGAGTCTGAACTCACTTTGGCAGTGAGCAAAGTGCTCCTACGGTCACATCTATAGTTAACACAGCATCCCTATAGCCACCCAGGTAGAAAGGCAGAAGGTCATCATTTGATAGAAGGGATGCTGAGGCTCTGGGAGGGAAAGGGACTTGCTTAAAGGCCCACGGTGAAGCAGCATCTCTGGACTCCCAGTCCAGTGCTCTTACCCAATATCATGCTGCTTGCCTCTACCCATCTGCTTTAGTCATCAGAGCATCATAGGGCAAGCCCCAATCCCTACCTCATTTTTGTTTATGGGTGCTAGACTCACAGCCCTACCCTCCAGCCATGTGGAAACAAAAACATGCTAGGGCTCTGGTGTGTTATTCCTTAAAGAACCTGGCCAGTGGAAACAGAGCAGACTGGGAATCGGAGTGAACTTCCCTAAAAGAGGGTCATGGGTCACGAAGGTCAAGCCAAAGGATGTAGTAGAAAGCTTTTCCCTAGAAATCTCTGGGAATGAAGCAGGCTTCAGTCACTCCCATCCCTGCCCCTGCTGCCACCCCTGCACATTGGTTTAGACTGGGTAGTGCCAGAAGCTGCGAGGGGTCGGGGGTGGGGAGCCATCAGATTGCCCATGGCCCCAGGCTCCTTCCCCACCTGCTCCTGTCCTAGCCCAGGCCTGGGTGCCATTCTTACACTCTCACACTCGTGTGCACGCCCACACACACATCACACACCTTGCTAGTCACACAGTCACAGCCTGGCCTCTGCTCCTGTGGGCCAGTGGCAGGACACCCCCTGGGATGGCTCAAAGGAGTCAGGACTGGGAAGTGGGGACATCAGGGTAGCTGAAGGAAATCCACACACCCAGGGCAGATCGGGGTTTAGACTCAGACCTGAGGTAGCCTCCCCAGGGGGCTGGGAGAGGAATTGGACGGAATGGAGGATGGAGGACAGCGAGAAGAAAGGAGGAGGAATGCAAAGTGTGGGCGGCCGCCAAGAGTGAAAACAGAGGGAAGCGCCATGCAAGTGCTGGAAAGAAGGGGGCAGGTGGGACGAGCCCCACAGCCCTTCCCCAGAAACGACCACCTCCGGGACTCAGCGCTCCCTCGGGGGCAGGCTCCGCCAGCCCTCGGCCACACGTGGCGTGGCTCCGGCACCCAGAGTCCGATTGCCTGGGATGGAAACGGCCGGTTCTGGCGGCCAGGTCCGATGCTCCGGAATCCAGCCCCATTTCCCTCCCGGCCACGCCCGTCCGGCGGCCTTTGCCGCCGCATTCAGGCCCTACTCACCTGGGGACCCCGGGCGGGGCGCGGTTGGGGCGCGAGGGCACCTGAGGGGGAGGGCCGAAGGGATCAGGGGAAGCCCCCGGCCTGGAGGGCACGGGGGGCGCCCCCCCCAGGGCGGACCCAGCAGGCGGAGGCCCAGGAGCAGGGCCCCGCGACCCGGGCCGGGCTGGGGGCACGGCGGGGGCTCGGCGCTGCGGCGTGGGGCTGGACGTGGGCGACCTGAGGGCGACAGGGAGCAAGGAACAAGGAGAGGCCAGATGAGCGGCTCCACCCACCCCGAGGCCCCGCCCCAGCCCAGTGCAGACCACGCCCATGCACGCAAGCCCCTCCCTACCGCGCCCCGAGGCGGTCGCCGGAGCTTAAGCCCCGCCCCCAGCGGCGCCACGTCCCAGCTCCACCCCGCCCCGCAGCCAGCGCTCGACGGCAAGCCCCGCCCCGCAGCAAGCCACGCCCTCTCTAAGCTCCGCCCCTCGCTCCAGGTGGGAGCCACCCCGGTGACGCGGGCGCGCCACTGCCCGGTCCCGGAACTCATCCCGCGGGCCCCGGGCTGGGGGGCTTTGGGGCCGTGGGGGCCGGCCCTGGTACCTGCGTCCGGCCGGTACGCTCTGCACCTGCAGCCAGGAGTCGTCCACGGGCGGGGGCATTGGCGTGCTGACGGTGGTCGTATTGATGTCGCCGATGATGCTGAGCGCCTCCTTCAGCGCGTGGTACATGCGCAGCATCTCATCGCGCCGCTGTGCCTGCTCCGCCGACTCCTCCATCAGCGTGTTCTGGTCCCCACATGAGTACAGGTTGGCCAGCAGTTCCGAGAAGATGAACTCCTTGGTCTGCGAGTGGGCAGAGAGGGAAGGAAGGTGGGACCTCCCCATCCCTTGTGCCGCCCTGGCCGCCTCACCGGGCCCTACTGGGACTGTGCGCTGGACTTGAAGCCCAGAGTATGGCTTTTCAGAAGCGGCTCCTACACTGCTTAGACTGGAAGATCCGCCTCCCCTCCGCGCTTTTCTCATTCAGATGGGGACACTGAGGTCCAGAGGAAAAGTCACCTGACCTAGGTCACAGATCTGGGAGGGGACTTAGGACCTATCATGCCACCAGAACACCTGTCTACTCAGTTTTGTTTTTTCGTTTGAGATAGGGTCTCCCTCTGTCGCCAGGCTGGAGTACAGTGGCGACATTACCACTTACTAGCTTCAACTTCCTGGGCTCAAAGTGATCTTCCAATGTCAGCCTCTCCAGTAGCTAGGACTACAGGTACGTGCTACTACCAAGCCCAGCTATTCTTTAAAATATTTTTGTAGAGACGAGGTCTCACTGTGTTGCCCAGAATAGTCTTGAACTCCTGGGCTCAAGCGATCCTCCCGCCTCGGCCTCCCAAAGTGCTGGGATTACAGGCATGAGCCACCATGCCCAGCACTTCATTACATTTCTTTTTCTTCTCTCTTTTTTTTTTTTCAAGATGGAGTCTTGCTGTGTCACCCAGGCTGGCATATAGTGGTGCGATCTCGGTTCACTCCAACTTCCGCCTCCTGGGTTCAAGTGATTCTCCTGCCTCCGCCTCCCGAGTAGCTGCAATTACAGACTTGCACTACCACTCCTGGCTAACTTTTATATTTTTAGTGGAGACACGGTTTCACCATGTTGGCCAGGCTGGTCTCAAACTTCTGACCTCAAGTGATCCACCTGCCTTGACCTCCCAAAGCGCTGGGATTACAGGCGTGAACCACTGCACCCAGCCCCTCATTATATTTCTATTGGACAGCTCTGGTCTGGACCGTGCCTCCCTCCATGGACCTGGTCCCATGGGGCTAGTTGGCATCTCCCCCAGGCCAACATGGCCACCTGCGTTCCCAGTGCCACTGGACCTCCCTCCCGCCATGCGGCGGTGCACGCACATTGTTAATCATGAGGTGCATAATGGTCTTGGGCATGAGGTCCCGCACGGTCTTGTTGACAATGGCCATGTATGAGTCCACAAGATTCCGGATGGTCTCCACTTGCCGTTCTAGCTGTGGGTCCATGGAGTGCATGAAGCTGTCAGAGCCATTCTCCTCAGTCTCGCTGGCCTGCCGTGGAGAACACAAGGGCATCAGGGTGGCCAGGCTAAGCAGCCAGGCTCCAGGCATTCCCAGGATCTCAGCCCCTCCAAGGGCATCTGGAACATTGAGGCAGAGAGAGAAGTGGCTGGCCTGAACACACACCCAGCTCCCCATCCCTTGTGCCTCTCAGGTCCCTAGACTCCGCTGATTCAGCCTTGTCTTGGTTTTGACTCTAGTGCCTAGAATTTGCCTCAATTTCCCAATCCAGAAATTGTTATTATTATTGTTATTATTTTGAGACGGAGTCTTGCTCTGTCACCCAGGCTGGAGTACAGTGGCGCTGTCTTGGCTTACTGCAACCCTCTGCCTCCTGGTTTCAAGCGATTCTCCTGCCTCAGCCTCCTGAGTAGCTGGAATTACAGGCATGCACCACCATGCCTGGCTAATTTTTGTATTTTAAGTAGAGACGGGGTTTCACCATGTTGGCCAGGCTGATCTCAAACTCTTGACCTCGTGATCCACCCGCCTAGGCCTCCCAGAGTTTACAGGGGTGAGCCACCGCACCTGGCCCCAATCCAGAAATTAGAAAAGAACATCTCCAGGTCCCTGGCTTGAAAACCTGGCCAGAGCTGGTGCCAGGCTACAGATGCCTGGCAGGAGGCAAGAGAAGGGCACACTCACTTTCTCCTTGTCCTGGGAGGCCCACACACCAACATTGCCACCGCCGCCGCCACCAGGGAGCACAGTCGAAGTAGACATGCACAGAGAGGAAAAGGGGAGAGATTGAGTAAACCTGGGACACTGCACCCCAACTCTCAGGCTACTCTAGACATTGCCACAATGAAATGGGGGAGGAAAGAGAAGGCAGTCACAAGAAACCACCGTCATAGAAAAGGGGTGCAGGAAACTCCATCTGCGGCAGACGCGGAGACACAAAACTGCCACTGAGGAAGGCTGGGGGAACCAGGAGACAGCTCTGGTCTCACCCCCACGGTGGGTAGGGGGAGAATTCCTCTTATTTCTGAGCGGAAACACGGCATGAGTTGGCATCACTGAGGATGGTGCCCCAGGGCCCCCTAGGATCAGCCGCTTGCCCCTCCTCTCCTTGCCCTGCACTCACCCCAACACGCTCAGGGTACACGCCAGCCCGCAGGAAGGAGGCCTTCCAGCTGTCCACCTCCTCCTGTGTCTCACAGGCCAGCTCCAGCTGCCGATAATCCTTGTAGACGTTCCTGTAAGAAAGGGCAGGCGGTGAGGGCAGATGGGCAAAGTCCCACCCTCCCTGGGGGTTAAGGGCATAGCCGGACTTTGGGGTCAACATGCCTGAGGCCAGCTCATTTCCTAGCTGTGTGACCCTGGGTGAGTCCCTTCCTCTCAGCCTCAGTTTCCTCATTGGGAAGATGGGTTAATAATAATTCCTGCCTTCTCAGGTCACTGAGGATTCAGTGAAGTAACTGGTAAAACGCTTAGAAGGGGACTGAACCTTTGATGAGGGGACAACCATAGTCAGTGAAGTCCCTAGCTTGGGGCTCAGACCCCACCAGCTTCCTCCGTGGCTCTCTGAGGACCCCTCTGATGGCTGCTGGACTGAATCCTCAACTCTGAGTAGGAGAGGGTCCACTAGAGTCAGCCTTGGGTCAGGAAGCAAGAGGCCTGGTACTGCCACCGGCCTATAGGAAAGTGAGCAGGAGAGGAGGACCAGGCCGGACTAGGGCTCTTTGCTCCAGGGCCTGGAAGAGTGCCTCATGCAGAGCAGGCACCATACCAGTGACTATATGAAAGGGAGGGAGGGAGGGAGGGAGGAAAGGAGGGAGGCAGAGTGGGAGGGAGGGAGGAAGGAAGGGAAGGAGGGAGGGAAGAGAAGAATGGAAGAAAGGGAGTAAGGGAGAGAAGGAAGGAGGAAAGGAGAGAGGACGGAAGGAGGGAAGGAAGGGAGGAAGGAAGAAAAGAAGGAAGGGAAAGAGGGAGAAAAGGAGGGGAGGGGATGGGAGAAGATCATGATATGATGTCTAGCACAAAGCAGGAACTCAATAAATATCTGTCAAATGAATGACTTGCTGTGGGGCCTGGGGCTGGTTTCTGTCCTCCCTGGATCCTTGTGCCCAGCTTCTACTCAGTAAGGGTGGTTTTGGGGCTGCGGCAGCCACAGCCAGGGGCAGGCAGGCACCTCTGCTCCGTGTTAAAGAGGGCAAAGATGTGCTTGCTCGACATGAAGCCCTTCTCCACGTCCCGCAGCTTGAGGTTGTCCACAGACAGCATGTATTTCTTCTCTTTCTCCTGTGGGTGGAGAAATGGGTGAGGTTGGCACTGTTCTCTGCCACACCTCACTCCCCAAGAGTCCCCCTGACTGGCCTGGGGCTTCTGAGCATCGGCCCCTCCCACTGTGAAGGTGTGGCTGGCTAAAAGCCTGGCCATGGGACCATAGGCCTGCTGGGCACCGCTGGCCCAGGGGGCTCACAAGGGGTGGCAAGGCTGACAGTGGCTCCCACAATCCCTCCCCAGGCAAGTCTTGGATACAAGCCAGGCCGGCCCCAGGCAGGGACCACACTCGGGCCTCTCTCGCCCCCGGCCTGGCCGCCTCTGACTTCATTTCCTGACTGCAGAGAGCGGCAAGGGGGGCCATCAGCCCCGGCGGCTTCAAAGGGCCGGCTCAGCCCACTCCCCCGAGCGCCCCATGTGTTAGCAATCAGGCAGCCAGCACAAGCCTGGAGATGCTGTGCCTGTGTGTGCAACATGTGTGTAGCTGTGTGTTTGTGCCAACACTTGCAGGCCCAAGTACATATCCTATGACCTATTGTGAGTGTGTGCACATGTATATCTCGGGGGTGCTCAGCATGAACCACTTAGTGCATATCAATGTGGATTATGCACACTCTGTGGATGTGTGTGGCAATTATGCAGCCTACATGTTTGCACAACCATGCTGGTAGGACGTACACTGGGGTACACATCTTACCTGTACACCGTGGTGCAATGGGCTGTCTGGGAGGAGTTACGTATATCTGTGCACAGGCGCGTGAGGCGCTAGGCCCATGTGTGTGCTCAGTGTGGGCACATGTGTATGCAGGCTGCTGTGTCCCAGAGGAGGGGTTCATGGATCTGGGGAGGAGGGACCCCAGGATGGGGCTCTGGGAGATGGGAGGGGTTTTTGTCACCCATGCCTTACTTGCTCATGGGGGTCATCTGTGTGGGCCTCGAGGTCTCAGAGGGCTTGGGCCAGAGCCTTGCCTAGGATCTCAGGTGGGGGGCCGGGTTTAGGGGGACCTTGCTCCTCCATCCTGGCGTCATCCTGCCCACCCCTCTCTTCCCCCCATGCCCCCCCCGGGCCCATGCAGCCACATAAAGCCCTCTTTATGCCAGGCGGGTGGCCGGGAGCCCCAGAGGGCGGCTGGGGGAGGAGAGGAGGAAGTTGCACACAGGGCCAGGGAACATCTGGAACCGTTCGAGGGAGGCCCTACCGCCACCCGCCCTGCGCTTCGGGGTTGGACACTAGGTAGGAGCGGCCTCCTCCCCCCACCCCTCCCTTCCTGCTGGCCGGCCCCCTCCTCAGGCCCCTCCTTCCCAGCCCCAGCTCCCGCTCACCCCTGCCACGTCAAAGGAGGCAGAAGGGGAGTTGGGAGCAGAGCAGGGACCACGGACTGGCTGGTCTGGGGCTGGGGGGACACGGGCTGGGGTTGCGGGGTTCTTGGATCTCCAGGGGATGGGGCTGAAGTGCCCACCGGACGGACAGACGCTGCTGCCTGGATGGATCAGAGGACACCTCCACTCCGTCTACCCAGTGTTTAGACTATCTGTTCAGGACTCCCAAATTGTACAGTAGTCTGCACATTGGTTAGGCTGGGCTGGGTTAGACCCTCGGCGCCGCTGCCACTGGAGAGCTGGACTGACCCCCGCCCGCCATCCCAGAGCCGGAGCCTGGAGCCAGGGGGTTGGGGGCACAGGACGGGCTGGGAGGAGGTACAGAGGGATGGGGGAGCCACCCTGCTATGGGACTGGTGTGGGGTGGCGGTAATGGGGGAAGGGTGACCGAGGACGACTGAAAGGATTGGGGGTCAATGGGGACTGGGGATGTGGGCAGCTGCTGGTCTGCCTGAAGAGCCTCCCTCACCCCAAAACCCAAGGGCTGGCGGCTGGGTGGAGAACAGACCACTCTCCCACCAGCCTGGACCACCTCCATATCCCCAGTGGTCCTAGTGCAAAGATCCACTCACATTCAACACACACGCACCTTGACACTCACAGCCCCAGAACTCAGACACACACATGAGCACACCTACACTTTCAATCTCACATCCATGTCCCAAACACACACACGAGTTCATGCACACACATCCACACACACCCTCACGACTGGAACGCTCCCCCATCCTCACATCCCAAAGACATACACAGATTCTCAAACACCCCCCACACACACCCTCCCTCCTCGAGCCCCTTCCCCCCACACACCTGCATTTCCACCCCGAGCACAGCGACATGTGCCCAGAGTCACTCCACAGGCACACAGATTTCCCCCCGACACAAATGCAGACCGCATATTCCAAACACCTAGATGCTATACCCCAATCACACTCCTAAAAAAACACCCACACACCAGACCCACAAGCCAGCTACACACACACACACACATGCACACACACACACACCATCTCCTAGCACCCACTGCCCACAGCCTGCTCCCACCTCCCCACATACGATTTTCAGAGCCATTTTCACACACCACTAAACTCAGATATACACAAAAGCTCAAGAAAGACCTACAGGCTGAGGCACGAGGACAGAGGACCCCCTCAGTTACACTCGCTCCTCCCCTACAGTGTCACCGGTCTCAGGCCCCTGGCCCCGCGCCCCCGGTCACACAGTCTCCCTGGCCCTGTGTAAGGAGCCTCAACATGGGAGACCAAACCCATGGGGGCATCTAGGGACCCTGCAGAGTGACCTGCAGGAAGCCGCCCCCACCCACACCCCCCCACCACACACTCCCTCCCTTCCAGGGGCCCCCATGTTGGGGGAGGCCGGGGTTGGGGTAATGAGGTCCAGATGGCTTGGCGCCCCCAACAGTGACGACAGAGGCCCCTCCCAAGGTGGAGAGTTGGGGCCCCTGCCCGGGACAAACTTGGAGGAGACAGGGACCTAGGAGGGGGCTCGGAGGCCAAAATCACAGGCCCTACCCAGAGCCCCGCTCCCCCAGTGGGGACACCATAGCCTCCAACAGCCCCCTCAGGAAGAAGAGGGTCCCTTCCCCCACTCCTTGGCCAGCTGGAGCTCATTACCACAAGCCCACCCCCAGCCCTCCCCATTCCCTCTGGTCACCTCTGGAATCCAGATGTGAAAGCCAAATAGACTCATTCTTAAAGGAGACCAGCAGCAGGAGAAGGAAGTGGCAGGGGCTTCTGTGTGCCCTCGTGGGCGGGGAGGGGGTCTGTGTGGCGGCTCGGCAGGGCCCCCACACTCCTTGGCCCTCAGCCTGGAGGCACCTGGGCATTTCCCTTGGGCTGCAGGGGTCTAGGGGCCTGGGGTGCAGGGGTTAACGCGGTGTCTGGCAGCTGGACTCGAATGTGTCATGGGTCTGTGGGGGCCACAGAGGAGGCGGCACGCCCTGCAGTGGGAAAACAGGAAGGCCGCTGGGCCGCAGGGTCAGGAAGGGGCACCCAGGGCCCCTGCCCACCCTCCCCAGGGCGCTTAGCCCAGACTCCTCAGTCCTGCCAACTACCTTCTCCTTTCAACCTAGGTGAGAGGGCGCCTCCCCAGGGAACCCCCAGGGTCACCCTTGCATCCCAACTCCACCCATGGATCTTTTTTTGAGATGGAGTCTCCCTCTGTTGTTCAGGCTGGAGTGCGATGGCTCAATCTCGGCTCATTGCAACCTCTGCCTCACAGGTTCAAGCCATTCTCCTGTCTCAGCCTCCCTGGTAGCTAGGATTACAGGCACCCACCAACACATCAGGCTAATTTTTGTATTTTTAGTAAAGATGGGGTTTCACCATGTTGGCCAGGCTGATCTTGAACTCCTGACCTCAGGTAACCCACCCGCCTCGGCCTTCCAAAGTGCTGGGATTACAGGCATGAGCCACTGCGCCCGGCCTGCCCAGGGATCTTTGACGAGACATTTTAAAACCCTGTTCCATGGTACAGCCCACTCCAAGCCTGTGGGAGGGTCTGAGCCTGACCCTGGCCACCAGCCCAGCCCCATGATGATCACTGGCCCTTGACTCACCTCATCATCCTTGTACCAGGACAGATTCTCAGCGGTCAGCACAAACCAGTACTCCTTAGAGCCCCCTTTCATGATGCCAATATTGTTGATAGTCAGCCAGCCCTTGCGGATGACCTGGAGGGTGATGGGGCAGGAGGTAAGTGGCAGGGCCTGAGCCTCCCTGTGGGGGATGTGGTAGGCAAAGAGAGGCATTTGAAAGCCCGCCCATCCCCCAGCTCTCAGAGGCCTGGCCAGTCAGGGAGGCTGGAGGCCAGACCTGCCTTGGTTTAAATCACTAGTGAATAGAGTGGAAGACAGAGGAAGGCAGAGATCAGCTCAAGATAAAGAGCCTCTGACAGGCAGACCTGGCCAAGTAAGGGACTGGAGGCCTGGGTAGGGGATGAGCTCCCTGTCACTAAGAGTATGCAAGCAGTTTATGTGGCCAATTGGGCAAGCATCTGTTCTGAGATGTGTTTCTGACTTTACACATACTGCTGCTGCCTCTGCCTAGAAAGCACTTCTCCTTCCTTACTCAGCCTTTGGGTATCAGCTCAGAATTTACATTCTCAGGCCAGACCTTCCTGGCCCCCAGTATAGATCAGGATTCCCATAATAATCTTTGATCACTCCCTGAAGTCAACTTCTATAACAATGACTTCAATTTTTTTTTTTTTTGAGTCTTGTTCTGTCACCAGGCTGGAGTACAGTGGCACGATCTCAGCTCATTGCAACCTCTGACTCCCTGGTTCAAGCAATTCTCCTGCCTCAGCCTCCTGAGTAGCTGGGATTACAGGCACATGCCACCATGTCCAGCTACTTTTTGTATTTTTAGTAGAGACAGGGTTTCACCATGTTGGCCAGGATGGTCTCGATCTCCTGACCTCGTGATCCACCCACCTCGACCTCCCAAAGTACTGGGATTATAGGTGTGAGCCCCCGCGCCCGGCCACGACTTTGATTTTTAACTAACTTCTCTGCATGGGTGTGTGTGATTATCTGTTGATGCAGCCTCCCCTGTTAAATTGTGAACCCTCTTGGTCACTAGTACATCCCAGCACCCTGCAGAGGGCTTGGCAGACAGGAAGTGATTGATATGTATTTGTAGTATGAATAAATGAATGCTATGCTAGTAGGATTCTAAGAGTCTTTGGCTCCAGGCCCCCAGGGACAGGGACTGATCCGTGAAGTGCCCAGAGTAACAGGCTAAGGTCCCTTTTCATAGCAGGAAGCAGCTGTCCCCAGGAAGTCCAGAGCCATGGCCATAGTCCATGGCCTGTGGTTCTACTTCAAGGGCAGGGTCACTGGCCAGGCACTGGTCATGAGTCAGACCGAGAGGATAAGGGAGCTGCTTCTGCTTCCTCCTGGACCCTGACCTCTCCACCTGCTTCTCTGAGCATCCAGAGAAGACCCAAGGAGGCCTGGGGCTGGTGGCAAAGCTCTCTGGAGCCAGGCTTGCTTCTGGAGCCCTCCTTATGCCTCTCTGGCTTCCTTGAGAACCTTGCTGGGAACCCAAGCTGCACAGCCCAGCAGCAGCTAAGTTGAGGGGAGACCACAGCTGCCTCGCTCACCCCTTCCTGATCAGGCGAGGATCCCCACAGCGTCTTGTCACCGTCTTTGGAATTGAGTCCACTCTGTGTCCTGGGATGTGACCAGCAGGTCTCACCACCTGTTCCCCACCCTGACTTGTAGCCTTTGTCCTCCTCTTGGCCACCCCCAGCCCTGAACTCCTGCCTGCTTATCCTAAGCCCCCTCTGGAGCCTCACACCAGGGACCTCCTGCTCCCCCAACTCCCACCCCGCATGGAGCTCTCAGGGGCCTTGGCTGGGCCCTACCAGCAGGCCCAGGTCTCCGCGTTCTGTCCCGGGGCCAGCACTGTGTAGGTACCAGCTAGTTTTGGCTGAACTGAATTGTCCTGATCCTACATTCATTCCTGCCTTCATTCTGTTGAACACCTACTGCGTGCCAGGCTCTGGGCTTGAGCTGGGGATTTAATGATAAACAGGACAGACTCAGCTCTCCCCTTATGGGGCCTGGGAAGGAAGCAGACATTAAGCCAATAATCACATAAACAGCTAGAGCCTTACAAAGAAACTACAGCCTCTGGAACCTATGGACAGAAAAGCTGAGGACCCTCGGGCTCATGTGTACAACTGGGGTTCAGCAAGCGCTCCTGCCGAGGCAGGTTCTGCGGACATCTGAGCACCGACAGCAGGAAGCCAGGTGAGCAGCGACTCGTCTCTTCACTTCTCATTCATCTCTTCATTCAAGTCCGGACTCGATGGCTGACTCAAGTCAGCCTCTTAAAAACATGTCTCACTCATGCGCATTTATCCATCCAAGAGACATTTAAGGAGCACCTTAAACATGCCAGGCCCAGCCTTCTCACCCACCCAGCCCCACACGGTCTAGCTCTGCCTGAAGTAGGTGCTTGGCTCGTGCACAAGGATGGACGGGTGAATGCGGCTGTGTGTGTCGCTGGGCCTGCTTCTGGCCTGAGGGCAGGTATGAAACGCCAGGGGCTGGTACGTACAAGCAGCTTCAGCCAAAGGGTACCCTCCTACCCACTGCAGATCCCCACCGCCGACAGCCCCTCCTCCCCCCGCTACACAAGCCGAGAGCCCCAGTCCCGGTACTCACCAGAATCTCATCCTGCAAACAGGTGACCATAGCAACCACGAGAGGCATCGGGGAGAGAGGAGAGAGGGTTACTGAGGCAGAGCGGGAGGCTTGTGGATGGCAGCTGACAGCTCCCTGGCCCCTGTGGGACCCTTCCCCTCAGAGGAGGGGGCTCTCGGAGTCTGGCATCCGTCCGGCACCCTCCATCCCTTGGGCTGGGGTGCTGGGGGCCACTCACCTGGTTCCCTGAAGTTTTCTTCTTGTTCATCTGGCTGCTCCTCTGCTGAGCACTAATGGGAGGGAGGGGAAGAGTCTCAGAACTTCTCCTCTCAAGAGACCCAGCTCTACTGCCCACTGCTCAGTGAGCACAGGACCCTGAGGGTTAACCTAGCAGACTTGGGCTCCATACACACATACATACACATGCACATACACATACACATACACATACACACACCACACATACACACACCACACACCACACACCACCCACACACCCACACACACACACACACACACACACACACACACACACACGTGTCACCTTCTTTGCCCAGGGAGTACTCACTTTTTGCCCAGGGGGAGTACTCACTTGGCAAAGCCTATGAAGTCCTCATGGTTGGTGTTCATGTAAGCCAGCTCAATATCAATGAGAAGCATGACCTTCAAGGATACACAGGTTGGTGGGCAAGCGGAAAAGACACCACAAAGTTTTAAAACGCAGGGCAAACTGGGAGAAAAACACTTGCAGCACACATAGAAGGTTAGCGTCCATAATAAATACAGCTCCTACCACCAGTGAAACACAAAAGCCGGGTGCAGTGGCTCACACCTGGAATCCCAGCACTTTGGGAGGTGGAAGCGGGAGGACTGCTTGAGCCTAAGAGTTCAAGACCAGTCTGGGCAACATAGGGAGACCTGTCTCTACCAAAAAATACGAAAGTTAGCGAGGTGTGGCGGCATGCGCCTGTAGTCCCAGCTACTTGGGAGGCTGAGGTGGGAGGACTGATTGAGCCCAGGAAGTTGAGCTTTCAGTGAGCTAAGATTGCACCACTGCACTCCAGCCTCAAAGACAGAGCAAAACCCTGAAAGAAAAGAAGGGAAAAGAAAAGAGAAGGGAAGAGAAGAGAAGAGGAAAGAAGAAAAAAAATCACAAATCAAAATATATGTTATTTTGTCAAAGAATATGATGAACAATTCATAGAAGAAATGCATAAAACCAGTATGGAAATGTAAAAAGTGCTTACCCTTGTTAATAACGAAATGTAGGTTAAAATAATGCGGATTTGAAAATGATCAGTGTGGCACAAGTGTTGGGAGATGAGCTCTCTTTCCTATTGTTGGTGGAAGTGTAAATTAGTATCACCTTCTCAGAGGGCAGTTTGGCAATATTTAACAACATTAAAATGCACAGGGCTGGATGTGGTGGGGCACGCCTGTAATCCTAGCACTTTGGGAGGCTGAGGCAGGAGGATCACTTGAGCCTAGGAATTCAAGACCAACCTGGGCAACATGGAGAAACCCTGTCTACAAAAAATAGAAAAATTACCCAGGTGTAGTGGCATATGCCTGCGGATCCGGCTACTCAGGAGGCTGAGGTGGGAGGATCGCTTGAGCCCAGGAAGGCAGAGGTTGCAGTGAGCCGTAATGGCACCACTGTACTCCAGCCTGGACGTCAGAGCATCCTATCTCAAACAAACAAACAAACAAACAAATAATGCACATTCACTTCCAGAATTATATCTCACAGATAAATTCATCAAGTGAGCAAAGACACATGAGCCAGAGTACTCAAAGTAGTACAGTTTGTAACAGAGAAACACTGGGAGCAAGCCAGTGGCCACCAGAGGGTGAAATAGATTGTGATACTCTCTAGACAAAAAAGCACCCTGCAGCTGTTCAAAAGAACAAGGTCTGGTGGGGCGGGGTGGCTAATGCCTATAATCCCAGCACCTTGGGAGGCTGAGGCAGGCAGATGGTTTGAGGTCACGAGTTCGAGACCGTCCTGGCCAAAACGGTGAAACCCTGCCTCTACAAAAATACAAAAATTAGCCAGGCATGGTGGTGTGCACCTGTGGTCACAGCTACTCGGGAGGCTGAGGCAGGAGAATGGCTTGAACCTGGGAGGTGGAGGTTGCAGTGAGTCAAGATCGAGCCACCGCACTCCAGCCTGGGCAACTGAGTGAGACGCCATCTCAAAAAAAAAAAAAAAACAAAACCAAGGACAATGTGTAGGTTCCAGCCTGGGAAGAGCCGTGCAAATGATTAACCGTGAACAGATTTGGAATTGAGTAGTGATGAGAATGACTTTCCAAATGGGATAAAGACTGCCAGGTTCAGACCCAAGCCCCATGGTTTTCTGTGAGTTTGGGGCCTGTCCTCACTGAGCCTCAAAGTCCACAAACGTAGCATTTCTGCCTCTTAGAACTGGTGAAGACACAGGAGATGAGATACTCAACAGATGTTAGCTATCAGGATTATCTTCTGGGGAAAAAGGCAAGGCACACAGCAGGCTTGTGATTTAGGATAAAGATGGAATTTGGATTGTGTCTGTGTATGTGTGTGTGTGTGTGTGTGTGCGTGCGTGTGTGCATATGACTGTAAGGTGACACAGTAAACCATTTTGCTTTTTGTGGTATTACTGATGCACAGTCTTACTGTGTTACCCATGCTGGAATGCAGTGGCATGATCACAGCTCACTGCAGCCTCCACTTCCTGGGCTCAAGCGATCCTCCCACCTCAGCCTCCCATGTAGCTAGGACTTTGGGTGCATGCCGACTCGCCTAGCTAGTTTTTAAAATTTTTTGTAGAGACGGGGTCGGTCTTGCCATGTTGCCCTGGCTGGTCTCAAGCTACTGGGCTCATGTAATCCTCCCACCGAGGCCTCCCAAATTGCTGGGATTACAGGTATGAGCCACTGTGTGGAGCCCCAAACTGTTACTAATGGTTATTTTTTGGGAGGAACTGGGGGTGGCGAAGAGTGAATGGAGGGCTATCTCCTTGTAATTTAACCACTTCTATACCGATTGAATGTTTTATTTATTACTTTTGTAATTAAAAAGCAATCAATAAGACTTTAAAAATACGACATCGATAACAAAAACATGAATGAATGCAGATGGCATCATCATGGAGAGACGTTTGAAAACAGGAAATGGGAAATGGGAGCCAGAGGGGGCTACAACAGATAGGCGGGGGCGTGGCAGACATGGACCAGGAAGGAGGACTAGCCTGTGAGCTCCGTGAGGCCCACGATGGGCTCTGCTCACGTCAGAGCATCCTATCTCAAACAAACAAACAAACAAACAAACAATTAATGCACAGATTCACTTCCAGAATTATACCTTACAGATAAATTCATCAAGTGAGCAAAGATACATGAGCCAGAGTACTCAAAGTAGTACAGTTTGTAATAGAGAAACACTGGGAGCAAGCCAGTGGCCATCAGAGGGTGAAATGCTCAGAGGCAGCATTCAGGGGCTATGTTTATGATGGAAGTAAGGAATGAATGAATGAATAGTTGATGAACAATGACATAAAGGTTGGGGTGGCTATGAGGGGTAGAATGTGACCCAGAGAAACAGCAAATAGACAGAAAGGCCCAAAGAGAGGACCAGAAGGTAGACTGCCAGAAAGTGAAGAAAGTCAGGCCGGGCACGGTGGCTCAGGCTTATAATCCCAGCACTTTGGGAGGACGAGGCGGGTGGATCACAAGGTCAAGAGATCGAGACCATCCTGGTCAACAAGGTGAAGCCCCATCTCTACTAAAAATACAAAAATTAGTTGGGCATGATGGTGCGTGCCTGTAGTCCCAGCTACTCTGGAGGCTGAGGCAGGAGAATTGCTTGAACCCAGGAGGTGGAGGTTGCGGTGAGCGGAGATCATGCCATTGCACTCCAGCCTGGGTAACAAGAGCGAAACTCCATCTCAAAAAAAAAAAAGTCAGACTAGGCCAGGCAGGGTGGCTCATGCCTGTAATCCCAGCACTTTGGGAGGCTGAGGCAGATCATTTGAGTCCAGAAGTTTGAGACCATCCTGGGCACCATAGTGAGACCCCCGTGTCTGCAAAAAATTTTAAAATTAGCCAGGCATAGTGGCATGTATCTGTAGCCCCAGCTCCTTGGGAGGCTAAGGTCAGAGGATCGATTGAGCCTGGGCGGTTGAGGCTACAGTGAACCATGATCATGCCACTGCACTCCAGCCTAGCAGGGGCGACAGAGCAGGACTCTGTCTCCAAAAAAATAAGCATAGAACTACCCTATGCCCGAGCACTTCCCCTTCTAGGTATATACCCCCAAGGGTTGAAAGTGGGGACTCAGATATTTGTACACTCATCTTCATAGCAGCATGATTCACAGTGGCCAAAAGGCAGAAACAACCCACATGAATAAACAAAGTGTGGTCCATCCGTACAAAGGAATATTATTCAACACTTAAAAGAAAGGAGCTTTTAACACATGCTACAATACGGATAACCCTGGAAGATATTATGCTAAGTGACAGATGCTGTATGACTCCACTTACATGAGGTCCCTAGAAAAGTCAAATTCATAGAGACAGGCCAGGTGCAGTAGCTCACGCCTGTAATCCCAACATTTTGGAAGGCCGAGGCGGGTGGATCACTTGAGGTCAGGAGTTCGATACCAACCGGGCCAACATGGTAAAACCTCGCCTCTACTGAAAATACAAAAATTACCCAGGCATGGTGGTGCACACCTGTATCCCAGCTACTCGGGAGGCTGAGACAAAGAATCACTTGAACTCAGGAGGCGAAGGATGCAGTAACTGAGATCATGCCGCTGCACTCCAGCCTGGGCGATAGAGTGAGACTCTATCTCAAAAAAAGGAAAAAAGAGTTCTGTGGCTGGATGTTGGTAAGGGCTGTACGACAATGCAAATGTACTTAGTGACGCTGAACTGTGCACTTAAACATGGCTAAAGTGGTACAGTTAATGTTATGTGTATTTCACTACAGTAAAAAAGAGAGAGAAGCAGAGTTAGTATGAGAGAGAGGAAGACTGAGATAAAAGAGGCAGAAGGAAGGAAGCGACTCCAGGCCGGGGAGTGGAAGGCGTGGGCAGGCCGCGTGCTGTGGGGCTCACCTGCTCCTTGGTGCGGCCCTCACGCTCCCGGATGTGGGTGGTCACGATGCGCTCCATCTCCTCCCGCAGCCGTGGGTACTGCTGGAGCTGGGGAAGGGTGGGAGGGCAGAAAGCCACGTACACAGAGGGCATGGGCAGGGAGCACCCACACCCCATGAGTCCAGGGATCCGCGGCGCAGGGTGGGAGGCACACACAGAACGCCCACGACGCGGGGAAGACCGGGGATCCCAGGACGCTGATGGCACCAAGTCACAACCACCTCTTTCCCCCAAGTGTGGATTCCAATTGGCGATTCAAGGGTCTTCCTGGTTCCAGGCCCTCTTCATTGGCCTACCTGGGCTACTTCAGGGGACAGGGGTGGTTCCCATGGGAGAAAGGCTGTGGGAACCAGCCTGCCCCGCAGACTGGTTAGGTCGCGGCCTCTGGGGACCACGAGCTCCCAAGGTGTTCCCTCATCCTCAGGGCTACCCCGTGCCTTCCTAAAGGCGTGGAGGGACAGCTAGATGGGGAATCGGGCAGAGGGCAGTCTCCGGATTCCTATCCAGGAGGAATCGGGGGAGGACAGGGCCTAAGGTGCCAGCTGGCCTCCTGAGTCAGGCTGGGGACAGGCAATGCTCCTTGTCAGAGCCAGGGAGGGGGTTCAGGGGAAAACTAGCAGTCACACCAGAGGACATGCAGGAACCACAGGCAAAAGCATGCGAGGCCTGGGGGACATGCGAGGCGGGGGCTAGCAGCATGAGCAGTACCCCGCGGGGCCTGGCTGGGCCCTGGCCCTCTTGGTGGAATCCACCCAGCTCTGTCTCCCTTGCATGCCCCTGCCTGGCACCACCATCCCCAGCCACATCTGTGTGGCTCTGGCCAGCCCCATTGTCTTGACCCAACTCCCTAGGGGTAGGAGCCCAGCAGCACCCCTTTCCCCCCTGGTTCTTATTAAGGGAGGCTGGAGGGGAAGTTGCTCCAAGTCCGTCCCCCTCTGCCTGTGAATCGTGCCCTCAGCTCATTTGGGCTCTGGACACAGCCCAGGTGATTCACTGGACTACGAGGTTCTGTTGCACTTCCGCTCCTCCAGAGAGCCTGCCCCAACTGCCCGAGAGCTGAATTAGGGGCCTCTCTAGTCCCACTCCACCTCCTCCAATCAACTGGATTGCAACTGCCCCCAAGGCAGGACTGGGGCAGGGCCAGGCCCATGGACAGTGCTGGAAGAGGGCATGTTGGAGAATGAGGGAATGAATGAAGGATGGATGCCAGGATGAGTGGCACAGGGTCCTCTGCCCTCTGAACCATGATCAGCTCTTCCAGGGGAGGAGACTCAATGTGCCTCTGACAGTGGGAGCCTACCCCCAGAGGCTCTGGTCCTGCGGGCCCACCCTCCCCACTCGGTGGCCACCTGGGGCCCAGGCAGCATGAGGGGACAAAGCTGGGAGTGCTCCTCATCCCCCTTCCTGTGGGTGGGTCAGGTCCTTCAGGTGGGTCCCCCAGTGGAGGAAGAGGCCTAGGGACTGGTGTGCCTAAGTCACAGGTGGTGATCCTGAGGGCAGGATGGAGGCCAAGGAGGTTTGAGGAGGGGGCATCGGGAGAGGCAGGAGGATGGGGAGAAAGCAGTGCCCTAGATGTCGACCCAGGATGCCGACATGAGGGATGCCCACATCCTACCCATCATCCCGTGGCTGTGCCAAGGGTGTGGCTAATGTGGCCAAGCTCAGGAGACTTGGGGGAGAAGCAGCCTGAGACCAGGGGCTTTAAAACAGTGGCTAGAGGGACCCTGTGGACCCCACTGCTCCTGAGGCTCAGGGAAGGGTTCCCACTCTTTGCAGTCTCCAAGTCTGGGCAGATATTTGGGACTGGGTCACTGCCACCAGGCCTCTTCTGAGGTGGTCCCAAGTGCTCCCTCCCAGTGCAGAGTTTGGAGGATCGGGGAGAAGGAGGGAGGAGGAAGGAGCAGTTTGCCAAAGAGCATGACCAGTTCTCCCACTAACCGCCTGGATGTCACATTTCTCAAGTTTTCCACATGTCACCCATGGCAGGGCAGCCTCCGCCCCTTTGAGAAGTTCTGTTGCCTTTGAGCATCTTTTTCCATTCTGGCTGCCTCTGAGCATTTCCAGCACATTTTGCCAGCTTTTCAAAAGGTTCCCCTCTCAGTCCTTGGCTGAGGGGGCAGTCAGCCTAGAGCCCAATGGGTTAGCGGTCAGGGACACAGCCCCTGGAGTCATTTGGCCCTGGGTTCAAAGCTAGCCACTGTCTGCTGACTCTCCTTAGACAAGTGACCAGACTGCTCTGAGCCTCAGTTTCTCCATGTGGAAAATGGGGTAGTAATGGCCCCTTCCCTCCTAGGATTGTTGAGAGGACTGAGCAACACACCCAGTGCCCAACATTAAACTCTAGATTTCACTCAGAGATGGCAACTCTAATCCCAGCAGTGCTAGGAGTAATGAGAGTTCCCTTATGAACACTTATTAAACCTCTGGCAGAAGTGGCTTGCCAAACTTAGAAAACTTGAGGGGAGGAGAAATATATATACAAAGATGGGTGACTTTTGCCTACAAAGAAAATAATTATGATCCACTAAACAAATCAAAAGGCAAAAGTATCATTTTCCTCTTTTTAGGCCAAAGCTTTCCGTTTCAAATATTTGTTGATCATTTTTTTCTGCTCCCAAAAATCACAGACGGCAGGGCGCAGTGGCTCACGCCTGTAATTACAGCACTTTGGGAGGCCAAGGAGGGTGGATCACTTGAGGTCAGGAGATTTAGACCAGCCTGACCAACATGGTGAAATCCCATCTCTACTAAAAATACAAAAATTAGCCAGGCGTAATGGCACATGCCTTTACTCCCAGCTACTCAGGAGGCTGAGGCACGAGAATTGCTTGAACCCAGGAGGCAGAGATTGCAGTGAGCTGAGATTGTGCCACTGCACTCCAGCCTAGGTGACAGAGCAAGATACTGTTTCAAAAAGAAAAAGAAAAAGAAAAAAAAATCACACGGACTCACTTTAAAATATTAAAGCATGACTAAAATTTGTGAAGTGGGCCGGGCACAGCGGTTCACACGTGTAATCCCAGGACTTTGGGAGGCCAAGGTGGGTGGTTGACCTGAGGTCAGGAGTTTAGACCAGACTGGCCAACATGGTGAGACTCTGTCTCTACGAAAAATACAAAAAATTAGCTGGGTGTGGTGGCGGGCACCTGTAATCCCAGCTACTTGGGAGGCTGAGGCAGGAGAATTGCTTGAACCCGGGTGGCAGAGGTTGCAGTGAGCCCAGATCGTGCCATTGCACACCAGCCTGGGCAACAAGAGCAAAATTCTGTCTCAAAATAATAATAATAATAGTAATAATAATAGGGCCGGGCGCGGCGGCTCACGCCTGTAATCCCAGCACTTTGGAAGGCCGAGGTGGGCAGATCATGGTCAAGAGATCGAGACCATCCTGGCCAACATGGTAAAACCCCTTCTGTACTAAAAATACAAAAAAATTAGTTGGGCATAGTGGCCCCCACCTGTAGTCCCAGCTACTCGGGAGGCTGAGGCAGGAGAATCGCTTGAACCGGGGAGGCAGAGGTTGCAGTGAGCCGAGATCGCACCACTGCACCACTCCAGCCTATGGAACAGAGCGAGATTCCATCTCAAAAATGAAATAAAATAAATAAATAAATAAACAAAATTTGTGAAGTGAAAGATTCCTATGGTGAATACGCCTTTGGGATTTTATCCTTCACATACAGTATTTTTTCTCCAAAATACCATACATTCTTTTCTGAAACCCGCTTTGTTTTTCTTCTCCTACAGTACACCATGGAGGGACAAGTAAATCCCATCTTTTCTTGAGATAGAGTCTCGCTCTGTCACCCAGGCTGTCGCGAGCTCAGCTCACTGCAACCTCTGCCTTCCGGGTTCAAGTGATTCTCCTGCCTCAGCCTCCTGAGTAGCTGGGATTACAGGCATGCACCACCACGCCTGGCTAATTTTTGTATTTTTAGTAGAGGTGGGGTTTTACCATGTTAGCCAGGCTGGTCTCAAACTCCTGACCTCAGGTGATCCACCTACCTCGGCCTCCCAAGGTGCTGGGATTACAGGCATGAGCCACCACACCTGGCCAACCTTGTTTTTTTTGTTTTAAGACAGGCTTTTGTTCTGTCTTCCGGGCTGGAGTGCAGTGGTATGATCATAGCCACAGCTCACTGCAGCCTTGACCTCCCAGGCCCAAGCAATCCTCCCATCTCAGCCACCTGAGTAGCTGGGACTTCAGGCATGTGCCACCATGCCCAGCTAAGTTTTTGCAGTGACAGGGTCATACAGTGTTGCCCAGGCTGGTCTCTAACTTCTTTTTTATTTTAGAGACAAGAATAAAATAACCCAGGAGTGCAGTGGTGCAACTGAACTCCTGGGTTCAAGCCATCCTCCTGCCTCAGTCTCCCAACTAGCAAGGACTGCAGGTGCACACTGCCACGCTTGGCTAATTTGAAAAAAAAAATTTGTAGAGATGGGGTTTTGCTGTGTTGCCCAAGCTGGTCTCAAACTTCTGGCATCAAGCAATCCTCCTCTTCAGCTTTCCAAAGTGCTGGGATTATAGGTGTGAGCTGTGGCACCCAGCCTATATAAACATTCTTAATGGGTGCATAATATTCTATTGAATAGATTTTTCACAGTTTACTTAACCATTTTCCTATTGGTGAGCATTTAGATAATCTCTAGTTTTTCAATACTTTAAATAAGCTGACAATGAATATCTCTGTGGATAGAGTTTTGCTTTTCTTTTTCTGTTATTGTTTCCTTAGGATAGATTCCTAGAAGGTTGATTACTAGACATAAACATTTAAAAACCATGAAACACTTTGACTGTCATTCCAAAAGGGAAGCAATAATTATGGTAAAATTTGGAAGCAACCCAAAAGTCCATCAAGAAGGGACTGATGCCAGGCGGTGGCTCATGTCTGTAACCCCAGCACTTTGGGAGGCTGAAGCAGAAGGACCACTTGAGGCCTGGAGTTCAAGAGCAGCCCGGGCAACGTAGTAAGATTCTGTCTTAACAAAAAAATTATTAGGCTGGGAGGGGTGGCTCTTGCCTGTAATCCCAGCACTTTGGGAGGCCAAGCGGGGGTGGATCACTTGAGGTCAGGAGTTCAAGACCAGCGTGGCCGACATGGTGAAACCCTGTCTTTACTAAAAATACAAAAATTAGCTGGGTGTGGTTGTGCATGCCTGTAATCCCAGCTACTCAGGAGGCTGAGGCAGAAGAATTGCTTGAACCTGGGAGGTGGAGGTTGCAGTGAGCTAAGATTGTGCCACTGCACTCTAGTCTGGGAGACAGAATGAGACTTCACAAAAAAAAAAAAAAAAAAAATTAGCTGAGCATGGTGGCGTGCTCTGTAATCCTACCTATTTGGGAGGCTGAGGCAGAAGGATTGCTTGAACCCAGAAGGCGGAGGATGCAGTGAGCTGAGATGGCACCACTGCACTCCAGCCTGGGCAACAATAGTGGAACTCTGTCTTAAAAACACCCAAAAAAACAAAAAAATTAGCTGGGTGTGGTGATGCGTGCTTGCAGTCCCAGCTACTTGGGAGGCTGAGTGGGGAGGATCGCTTGATTTGGCTTGAGCCCAGTTTGAGGCTGCAGTGAGCTATAATGGTGCCACTGCACTCCACACTGGGTAACAGAGCAAAACTCTGTCTCTAAAAAAGAAAGAAAGAGGCCGGGCGCGGTGGCTCAAGCCTGTAATCCCAGCACTTCGGGAGGCCGAGGCGGGTGGATCACGAGGTCAAGAGATCGAGACCATCCTGGTCAACATGGTGAAACCCCGTCTCTACTAAAAATACAAAAAATTAGCTGGGCATGGTGGCGCGTGCCTGTAATCCCAGCTACTCAGGAGGCTGAGGCAGGAGAATTGCCTGAACCCAGGAGGCGGAGGTTGCGGTGAGCCGAGATCGCGCCATTGCACTCCAGCCTGGGTAACATGAGTGAAACTCCGCCTCAAAAAAAAAAAAAAAAAAAAAAAAAAAAAAAAAAAAAATGGGATGAGTACTACAAATACATCCATAAAGATGTTCATTGCAGCACCGTTTGTGAAGGCAAAGAAAAATGCAAAATGTTGAAACTTAAATGTCCATCAAGAGGACACTGAACATATAAATCATGCCACATTTCTGCAGTGGACTACAACTCAGCAGTTAAAGGGCATAAGACCGGCAGGGTGTGGTGGCTCACACCTGTAATCCCAGCTCTTTGGGAGGCCGAGGCAGGCGGATCACGAGGTCCAGAGTTCAAGAGCAGTCTGGCCAATGTGGCAAAACCCCATCTTTACTAAAAATACAAAAATTAGCCGGGTGTGGTGGTGCATGCTTGTGATGCCAGCCACGTGGGAGGCTGAGGCAGGAGAATCGCTTGAACCCAAGAGGTGGAGGTTGCAGTGAGTCAAGATGGCGCCACTGCACTCCTGTGTGGGCTAGAGAGCAAGATTCCATCCAAAAAAAAAAAAAAAAGGACTGGAGATGATTGATGCTTACTTGAAACCTGATACTAAGGTGGATGTGCCTCCACCCACCTGCACAGGGAAGTCCTGCAGACACAGGTGAGGCTGGGCAATGCCCAGCACCTCTGATTCAGCCTGCGGCAGAAGCACCTGCAGGCAATTCTCTTGCATGCCTCTGGAAGGAACTGTTTTAGACAACCTGGCTAAAAATCCTCAAAATGCCCAAAAGCAGACAAATAGGAAAAAGGCATCTAAAAAGTTACAGACAACTCAAAAGAGGCCGCCCCCGTCTATCATGCATGGATTATTGTAAAGTGAGTCATCCAATATGCTTTCAGGCAAATTGGTTTTAAGGAACTAGGACAGCTCCCCCTGCCCAGGAGGCCCGGTCTCAGACCCCTTCCTCTGACCTTCCTAAATCTGCATCACAATGTGCTTCTCCTTTCTGAGACTCTGTTCTGCCATCTGCAAAATGGGAATAACAACACTACCCACTTCTTAGGGTGGTTGAGAGGACTGAGTTATATAGTAAGGGCAAGCACTTAGCCCATGCTTGGCACATAGTAGGTGCTCAGTAAACAGCTGCCATCTCCTTCATCACTGGCATTCTCATTGATGCAAAGGTGCCACCAAGGATGCTTGGGTTGGAGTAGTCTTCTGGCAGGGATGGGGGTAAGTACTCAGGGTTAGAAACTGGCGGGAAACACTAGGGCTGGGTCCCTGTGGGTAGCCATGAGGACTGCTCAGCAGATCTTTCTGCCCACAGGAGGCCATGACCACAAGGAATGGACGGCCAGGTCCAGCCCCGCCCAGGCGGCCGTCATACCTTTTCGCTACACTTTCTGATGGTGGCTGTGAGCTCACTGACTACCATATCCACACACTTGATACTGGGCTCTTTGAGCTTCTGCACCTGCTTTTTCACTGTGGCTTCAAAAGCGAGGTCAGGTGTGAAGAGGCCCGTCCTGCACCCGGGGAGGAGGTGGGGACAGGAGGAGGAGCAGCCGCGGGTGGGGAGGAGAAGTGGGTGAAAGCCAAGCAGGGACAGGAATCCAGGGGTGGAAAGGATGGCACGGGCATGGGGAAGAGAGAGAGACACCGACACAGATAGAGAGAGAGAGAGAACAGAAGACAATGTGAGCGTGGGGCTGGCCCTCCCCCACCACCCGGGTCGGCACCTCCCAGGTGCTGCCAAGCATCCCCTGGGCTCCGTGGGTATGGCCAGGGATAAGAGGGACCAAGCCCCTGCTCTGTACAAGACCCCTACTGAGTTCAGATGCTCGCCCCAGGGATGCTCCCCTGCTCCTCAGCCTCACTGAGGCTGCCTGCTTTCTCCCAGTGCCATGTTTGTCCACAGCCTTGGGTTCTCCTAAGGAGCTGACCCAGGCCAGGACAAGGCCAGGACCTCATCCACCCATCCTGTTTAATTCTAGGCTTCCCAGTGCCCTGGAATTTGCTTCACCCTGACTCCAAAGCTCAGCACCATTCCCTATCTCTAGGGTTGCCACATCCAGCTGCCCAGGCCATGCACTGCACAACGCCAGGGGGCTCCACTCCCATAAACCATGGTGCAGAGGCTGCCTCCTGGGGTTGCAGCACAGCATCCTGACCTCCATTCTCCAGCTCCCTGCTCTAGTCCTGCCCCTCCCTTTCTCTTCAAGGGGCATTCCTTGCCTCTCCTCCACAGGGGTTTGGTGGAACCAAAAGACAGAAAGAGAGGAGGAAAGACAGAAAGAGTGGAGGTGGAGATAGAGAGGGGCTGGGGCAGCAGTGGGGAGGAAAGGAAGGGAGGCTGGAAGGTGGAATCGAGGAGCACTGGACTTGGGAGTCCAGAGCCGTGGCTTCAAGCACTAGCTTTGCCACCTCCTGGTGACTGTGACCTCGGGCAAACTTGATCTCCTAGAGCTTCAGTGTTTGTGCTGTGAAATGGGCACTGTCCTCCCTGCCCTGCCTCCCTGCATGGTTTTGTGAGGCCCAGATGGTGGGGCAGATGGGAAAAGGGCTCTGTTTCTGGATGGCCAGATGTGGATGGAAGGGAGGGAGAGGCTCTGCGTGAGGGTCCTGAGTGAGGGTGAGGTGAGGATGGGGAGCATGAAAGACAGTGGGGAGCCAGGGTTCCTGCTAGTCCTGGTCCTCAGCACCCCTCTGGCCACCCAGATACACCAAGCAGTGCCCAAGAAGGCCCTGCACTTCACCTGTCTCCATGGCCTCGGTTTCTCCAGACCCCTACCTGGAGCTCCCTAAGATGACGCCTCTGAGGGCAAGGAGGGGGCTCAGGGTCCCCTCAAGCCCTATTCTCTGAGCTGGGGGAGCTCCTGGTGGGCTCTTGGGGTAAACAGCCAGCCATCATCCCATCTCACCCGTGTCCAATCCCTGGGTCCCCAGGCCTGGGAGCCAGGGATGGGTGAGGCCCCCTCAGAGGCACATTCTCTCCTGGTCATTGGTGGCCTGCCTCCCCACCCCGCTGAGGTCTGTACATGCTACCGAGGAGGCAGGTGGGGATGTGGGGAAGGAGCGCCTGGCAGCGGTGCAGGGCAGGGCAGAGGCGGTGGGGGCTGGCCCGGCCGCCGGGTTACCTTCTTGGTGCACTGTCTAACGGTGCTGATTAGCTCCGAGATAACCATGTCCACACACTTGAGACACGGTTCTCGGATCTTCTTCACCTGCTTTTTCACAATGGTCTCAAAGGCCATGTCTGGGGTAAACAGCCCCGTTCTGAACGCCCGGAGCGGGAGAAGGGCACAGTGTCACAGGCCAGTGCCGGCCAGGAGGGCCAGGCCAAGGCCCCTCCCCAAACCCATGAACTCTGCCCGAGGGGCCCTTGACTACTCCTCTCTGGGCCTCAGTGTCCCCGGCTGTAAAATGGGAGGGAGGGGTTCTAATGAAGGGCTTTTAATTGAGGCTCTTTGGGGCCAGAAGAGGTGGTGGAGAGGACTACGTATCTGATATAGAAGTCCTGCTTCCTCGTAAGGGTTTGTGCATATGGAAAGTTCTATGGCCAGAAATGGCTTGAAAATTGCCAAACTGGGGTCTCCATAAGAGCCTTTCCAGGAATAAAGTGTTTTGTTTTGTTTTTGAGACCGAGTTTGTTCTTGTCGCCCAGGCTGGACTGCAATGGTGCAATCTCAGCTGGCCGCAACCTCTGCCGCCTGGGTTCAAGCGATTCTCCTACCTCAGCCTCTCAAGTAGCTGGGATTACAGGCATGCACCACCACACCCAGGTTTTTTTGTAGAGACGGGGTTTATCCATGTTGGTCAGGCTAGTCTCCAACTCCGGACCTCAGGTGATCTGCTTGCCTCGGCCTCCCAAGGTGCTGGGATTATAGGTGTGAGCCAACACGCCCGGCCAAGTGTTTTGTTTTAAGACTAGGGGAGCGATCTCTCTTCTGTGAATTGGCCAGTGCAGTTATCATGAAGTAAATTCCAAGCCAAACCTTGGCAATGAGCCTGCATGAGAGCAGGGGCACTGGGTCTTGTTCACTGCCTGGCATGTGGTAGGTGCTTTAAATTTTCCTGCCCAGTGGATTTGCTGGATGAACACCGTGTAGGTCTAGGTCCCTGAAGGGGATCTAAGCTTTTAAGGAACGGAGTCCACCTCCCAATCCTGTTTCCTGCTCCACGGGTTGCCCGGAAGGAGGGCGATTGGGTGGAATGGGGCTGACTCTGGGCTAATGTGAATACAGGAGGGCCTGGAGGGTTTCGAAGTCCCAGGTCATCATAAAATGACAGAGCCTCATACCTTGATGCTCCACCGCAGGGCCTACCTCGTGGTTTGGGCATCTTTGCCTGGTCACCCGGGTGGCATTGAGGGAGGTATCTCACTCTGGGGATGGGCCCAGCTGCAGGGGGTATTTCCCTGGCCAACTGCGCCCTGGGCTGTGCCCGATTGGCCCAGCAAGTGACAGTAGGTGGGATGACCCCAGTCTACCTCCCCAAGCTGCAGCCTGTCACGCAGGGAGCCAGAAAGTGGGGGTCGAGAGGACTGGGGACCAGAGCTCTCAGTCCTTCCTGAGGAGGCCCACTTCATCACTCCCTCCGCCTCTGTCCCAGCCCCCCTGCTTCTGGGGTTCAGCACCCCCCCACGCCCCAATACATGCCTAATGCCATGGATATTCTTGATGGCGTAGCTGATCTCCTTTCGGAGTTCCTTCTCATCAAACTCCATCTGTGTAGAAAAGCAGAGAAAAGGCTGGTCAGGGCCTGTCCTGCTACCTGAGAGGTCAAGCCAGGGCCCACCCCACATCCAGGTCTGGGTATCAAGGCCTCTGGAGTAGGGGTCAGCAAAAGCACACGAAGAGAGTCCTGAGTGAGGGTGGCGGGAGTCCTAAGCCATGTCCTCAGGGCTGCCTGACCTACCTTGACCAGCTCAAAGGGGAAGCGCTCGTGGAAGATTCGGTTAATGCGGGCTCCCCCTGACAGTTCATAGGTGTCGATCTGATCTCCTGAGCCCTCAATGCGCTTCTCAAAGTCTACGGCGAACTGCTGGACCATCCTGGGGGGAAAGTGGTGTGGCCTCAGGGGGCGGGAGCAGCCCAGCGAAGGGAACTCCGGGAGAGCCCCATGCTGAGAGGCTGGGGGCAGGGATTCAGTGATGGGAGCAGGAGCTGGGGGAGCCTCACTGCAGCAGGGCCTTGGTCTTGCGTGCGGGGTCATCAGGACGGAAGTTCTTGTATTCCTCCACCTCCTTCTCGATGGACAGCAGCTGGCTCTGCAGCTTGTTCCGCAGCCCCGGCAATGTGTCCCGGATGTGGTTCGTCAGTTGCTGGGGGTGGGGGTGAGGAAAGGGTTAAGGACAGACGGTCACAGGGCCAGGCAGGAACTTGGATGCAGGGGGAACTGTGTGAACGTGGTGAAGTGGAGAGCTATGGAGGGCAGCCCTGCCACTGTGACCCGGGCCACTGGCAGGAAAGTCGGTTCATAGAAGGAGCTTGCAGAGGCGTATTAGTTGAATTAATGAGTGCATAATTTTCAATAATACCAGAAATCTGGATTTGTATTTGAAATTTCCTGACTTTCAACCAATTTAATATTTTTGTTTTTGTTTATTTTTTCTTTTTTTTGAGACGGAGTTTCACTCTTGTCACCCAGGCTGCAATGCAACGGTGCGATCTCGGCTTATTGCAACCTGCAACCTCGGCCTCCTGGGTTCAAGGTGGTTCAGGCATGCACCACCATACCCAGCTAATTTTTTGCGTTTTTGGTAGAGACAAGGTTTTGCCATATTGGCCAAGCTGGTCGAATTTTTGGCCTCAAGTGACCCATCCGCCTTGGCATCCCAAAGCGGTGGGATTACAGGCATGAGCCACTGGACCCAGCCCAATTTAATATTTTTAGACGTGCATCTAGGGCAGGGGTAGCCAGAGGACTGCCCCCTGCACCCTCTGTTTAAAGCCTCCTTTAAGGTCACTCTCAAGCTCTGGCACTCTTTCTCACTAGGTGCCCCCACACCGTATCTCCCTGAGCCATCATGACTCTGTGAAACAAGTCTGATCACCCATTGTTTCCATTTTACACACGCAGAAATGGAGGCTCAGAGGTTGGGCATGGTGGCTCACACCTGTAATCCCAGCACTTTGGGAGGCCAAGATGGGCAGATCACTTGAGGTCAGGAGTTCAAGTTCAGCCTGGCTAACATGGTGAAACCCTGTCTCTATTAAGAATACAAAAATTAGCTAGGCGTGGTGGTGTGTGCCTGTAATCCCAGCTACTTTGGAGGCTGAGGCAGAAGATTCACTTGAACCCAGGAGGTGGAGGTTGCAGTGAGCCAAGATGGGGTCATTGTACTACATCCTGGGCAACAGAGGGAGACTTCATCTAAAAAAGAAAGAAAGAAGGAAAGAGAAAGAAGGAAGGAAGGAGGGAGACAGGGAGGGAGGGAGGAAGGAAAGAAAAGAAAAAAAGAAAGAAAGAAAGAGAGAAAGGAAGAAAGGAAGGAAGGAAAGAGAAAGAAAAGAGAAGAGAAGGAGGGAGGAAGGAAGGAAAGAAAAAAAGAAAGAAAGAAAGAAAGAAAGAAGGAAGGAAGGAAAGAAAGAAAGAAAGAAAGAGAAAGAAAAGAGAAGAGAAGGAGGGAGGGAGGGAGGGAGGGAGGAAGGAAGGAAGGAAGGAAGGAAGGAAAGGAAGAGAGGCTCAGAGAACCGGAGAGCATCTCAGTGGTGGAGTGACAAAGCTGGGATTGGAACACAGGTCTTGCCTACACAGATAGACAGACAGACACACACATGTGTACAGGCACACACACATGTACACACACACGCACACATGCTTCAGTTGTGGATGCCCCATTCTCCATTCCAGATGGAGAAATATCCTGGGGAAGCCCCTGGGATTCCCTGTTAAGGTCTTCAGCCAGGTATAATTGAATCCTGGTCCCCAAACCCAAGCGCTTCCCCATGACACCTCCACATTGGTCTTGGTCTTCTCTGTGTGGGAGACTTGCAGGGCTTCCCTGGCAGGTCCCAGACAGGGAAATGTCAGCAAAGCTTTGCTGCTACCTGGCTGTGGGGCTGTGGGCAAGTTGCTTCTCTTTTCTGAGTCTCAGTTTGTTTATCTGAACCCCGGGGAGGCTAACCTCTGCTGGTCACTGTCAGAACACACTTCAATTATTCTGTTCTCATGCTTGTTTCCCCAGACCCCATCCTGACTTGGTCGCCTACCTGATTGAGGACCTTCTGCAGGTAGGGCGTGCCCATACGGTCAGCCAAGTGGCGGTAAGATGGATGAGAGAGGAAGAACTTTCGTTCAGCAGCTAAGGCGGCCGTGATGTCCTTCTTGCCATCAATGTCCTTCTGGCTCCGGTTCACCACCCCAATGTAGCCTGTGAACAGCATCAAGGTCAGGGCAACCAGTCTCAAGGGGAGGAGAGGGACAGGGAAGGGCTGGGGAGTGGGTCAGGGGTGTGGCCTGTTTACCTCTGCGCAGGGGGAGCAGCTTGTTCTCCAGCACATCACGGGCATCTGTGCCCTCGTCCATAAGGTCCAGCTTGGTGATGACCCCGATGGTGCGCTGGCCTGGGGGTACCAGCAGGAGGGCCGTCTATAGCTGCACTGGCTCTCACACAGGATTCCAGGCACTCCCACTCCTGACTCCCTGCTCTCCTCAGCCCCCTGCCCACTCACTGCCTCCTCTTCCCTCTTTATTCATTTTCCACAGGGTAGCCAAAAAGATTTTTATTTATTTATTTATTTTAAGACAGAATCTTGCTGTCACCCAGGCTGGAGTGCAGTGGCGCGATCTCGGCTCCCTGCAACCTCCGCCTCCCCTCCTGGGTTCAAGTGATTCTCCTGCCTCAGCCTCCTGAGTGGCTGGGATTACAGGCGCCCTCGACCACGCCTGGCTACTTTTTTGTTTTTTTAGTAGAGACAGGGTTTCACCGTGTTAGCCAGGATGGTCTCGATCTCCTGACCTCGTGATCTGCCTGCCTCAGCCTCCCAAAGTGCTGGGATTACAGGCATGAGCCACCTCACCTGGCCCTCATTCTTCTTCTTTTTTTTATTTGTTAGAGATGGGGTCTCACTTTGTTGCCAGGCTGGTTTCTAACTCCTGGCTTCAAGCGGTCCTCCCATGTTGGCCTCCCAGAGTGCTGGGATTACAGGCGTGAGCCACTGCATCTGGCCTTTTTTTCTTTTTTTGAGACAGAGCCTCACTCTTGCCCATGCTGGACTGCAGTGGTGCAATTAACGCTCACTGCAGCCTTGACCTCCTGGGCTCAAGTGATTCTCCCACCTCAGCCTCCCAAGTAGCTGGGATCACAAGCATGCACCATGATGCCCGGCTAATTTTTAAATTTTTTTGTAGAAATGGGGGACTCATTATGTTGCCCAGGCTTGTCTCAAACTCCTGGGCTCAAGCGATCCTCCCACATTGGCCTCCCATAGTGCTGGGATTACAGACATGAGCCACCATGCCCCACCCCCAAAATGATTTTTAAAGGTACGAATCTGATCCCACCACCATTCTTAGATCCTTCAGAGGCTCCCCCTTACACTAAGAATAGACAGCCCCCAAGTCTGGGGCTTTGCGCATTGGCCACCGGCTGGGAACCTACCCTGGGGGTCCACCTCCTTGGCGACCTTGAGGGCGTCAGAGTTGGCCAGGTCAGAGTTGGCGGGGGACACGGCCAGGATGAGGCAGTTCTCCTTGGTGACAAACTGCATAAGCATGTCCCGGATCTGGAACTCGATGTCGGGAGGTTGGTCCCCCACCGGGACTTTGGTCATTCCGGGCAGGTCCACCAGGGTCAGGTTCAGCACTGGACAGGGCGGTGAGAGGGCGGGCTCAAGGCGGGGGGCGTGGCCGTGGGGGTGTTAAGGAATAAGGAGGAGGCTTGCAGGATCCTCTTGGGAGCAGGGTGGCAGGTGGGCGGGACGAGGAAATCTCTGGGCGAAAGTGGCTGCTGTTGGAGGCGTGGCCGGAAGTGGGCGGGATCATGGCAGGGTGGAGCTTGGAATAGGATGAGGCAGAGGCAGGGTCGCTCTAGGGGCGGAGTCTGCAGGAGAAGCAAGGCACGCAAAGGGGAGTGGCCAAGAAAAGGATTTTTAGAGGTTGGGGCGGGGCCGGGGTCCTCACCGTGCGGCGAGTAGACGCGGAGGTTGATAGGCACCGGCGAGATGCCTTTGTTGGTGCCAGTGACCCGGTCGGTCTCGGCCTCAATCTCCAGGCGCACCTCCTCGAAGTCGGTGAATTTCTTTCCCTTGCAGTGCAGGAACTCGGCATATTCTGCCCCAGAAGCGGGCAGGGGAAGGGCAGTAGGCATCAAGGTCCGGAACCCCACCTGGGGGTTTTCATCTCCCGCCGGTAATAGAGCCCCCTAAACACACCCAAGCGGAACCACCCACGTCCCCATTGTGTATTTTGATCCCTACCGTCCCTAAGGGGAACGAGGCCCACAGTCCCACAGCAAGCAAGTTCTGTGGCCAGGCTGACCCTCAGCTTGGGGACAGCGGAGAGGCTGAAGTGGGCAAGCCTGGCTGCTGATGAAGGAGGGCACGTACCTGTGGTTGCATTGACCAGCTGCAAGACCAGGGGACGTCGGGTGACAATGCCAGATCCTCGAGGTAGGAAGTCCCTGCAATGAGTTGGAGGTTAAAGGAGGGTCAAGATATGAGAGGGTTCCCTCTGTCCCAGGGGTACCTGTCCTCCCTGGGAGAGCCAAAGCTCCCTCCAAAGTGCTGGCGCCACCGCTTCTTAGCCCAAGGGCTTCAGGTCCCTAAGGGGAAATGGCAGCCCAGAAAGGTGGAAAAGACTCTTCCTCAAGTCCCCTGGGTCACAGAATTTATGCATCTGAGCTGCCAAGAGACTGGATCAACTCCTAGATATGCCCTGTGTTGGTTTTGAGCCAACAAGAAGTCCCTGCCCCAACCCAGCCACTGCCATTCAGTCCCGGAGAAACTGAGGCACGGGGTGTCCTACATGCCTATGCGTCCAGTGCCCACAGAGAGGATCCCAGGAAACAGAACTGTAACTTCTCCCCTCCCTTCCGCTGTGGGGCAGGACAGCATCTCACTTCCCCTTCCCCAGACCCCATATGGCTATGGCTGAAGAAGCAGGGGAAGGAGGTGGCAAGGAAAAGGACTCATGGGTGGGGTGCAGTGGCTCATGCCTGTAATTCCAGGAGGTGGAGATTGCAGTGAGCCAAGATTTCGCCATTGCACTCCAGCCTGGGCCACAAGAGCAAAAAAAAAAAAAAAAAAAAAAAAAAAAAAAAAAAAAAAAAAAAAAAAAAAAAGCTGGCACAGTGGCTCACACCTGTAATCCCAGCACTTTGGAAGGGCGAGGCGGATGGATCACCTGAGATCAGGAGTTCGAGACCAGCCTGGACAACATGATGAAACTAAAAATACAAAAAAATTAGCTGAACGTGGTGGTGGACGCCTGTAATCCCAACTACTCTGGAGGCTGAGGCAGAATTACTTGAACCCAGGAGGTGGAGGTTGAAGTGAGCCAGGGTTGTGCCACTGCACTCCAGCCTGGGTAACAAGAGCGAAACTTTGTCTTAAAAGAAAAAAATAAATAAATAAAGGACTCATGCTTTTTAGTGCCTACTGCATGCCAGGCTCTTAGTAGGGCTCCATACCATAGCCCCATGAGGCAGGTGCTGTTATTACCCCCATTTTGCAGATGGGGGAACTGCAGCTTAGAGACATTCAGGTTGCACAGCCAGTACCTGGCAGAGCAGACCCTAGTCTCAGATCTATTTGACTTTGCAGTGAGACTCCCATGCCCTTCAGCCCCCTTTGCAGGACTGAACTGAGGGGTCTCAAAGTCGTCCCCTGTCCCCAGACCTGACAATCTGTAGCTCAGACAGTTGTTCGTGCTGATGACAAGCTCAGCTGTCCTTTTGGCTGACTCTTGTGGGTGCCAGTTCTCTGTCCAGTCAGCTCTTTTCATCTACCACCCTCTGCACTGCCCTCCAGGCTGGCACAAGCACGAGGGTGAAAGCCTCTCCAGGAATAAGACTGTCAGAATTGCCAGTCATGGGATCCCCAAGGCCCAGGAAAGGGGTGGGGGCAGGCTGAAGCCCGAGGGACCATTGAGACACAGCCAGCGCCTTACTCATGGAGATGCCCAGGGAGGGAAAAAGACACACACAGTCTCTACAGAGCCAGAGGCGGAACCCAGTCTCTTGCCCCCAGCCCAGAGCCTGACCCAGACTCATAAGTCTTCTTTCACCCCAGGGTCAGTAGCAAAGGGTCTTTCATACAACAGACTAGACCCAGAGCTCCTAGGCTCAAAGCCCCCTCTTGAAGCCTCTCCACTGCCCCACCTCTGGGGAAGCACAGGATGCTGGGGAGGAGTCAGGAACTATGCTGGAGAAAGAGAAGGATGGTAAGCCCCATGTATATTCATCATTCTTGCCAGACAGTGAGCTTTAGGACAGGGCAGCCTCTTTCTGTCTGCCACTGTATCTCAATGCCTAGGACAGGGCTTAGCACACAAGGGGCACTCAATAAATTCTGATTGAATCCCCAAGTCCTCGAATCTGTGCTCCAGTATAGAGATTATCATTTTATGGAGGAAGCAGCTGAGGCTCAGAGAGGTGAAGTGACTCACCCAAGGTCACACAGCCGAGCGGGGATTCAAAGCTGAGTGTCTGTTGGACCCTCAGCCTGGGAGCTTCCCCATTCAAAGGTGCTGCCTCAAACCCAAGAAGCCAGACTTGGCTTTTTATGTAATTCAGTTAAATTCAGTCTGTGCCCGGCCCTGTGCCAGGCTCTGGGGATGGGAGATGATGAGTCAGACAGTTCCCACCCTGAGGAACTCACAGTGTGGTGGGAGAGACAGACAAGTAAACAGATAATGCAATGCAGTGTGGTGTGTGCTAGAACAGAGGTGTGCCAGGCGGCACAGAGGGAGGCGGTTGGCTGGGGGTGGGTGGGAGGACTTCCGGTCTCGATCTCTCCCATCCTTTACTCAAAGACTTCTTTGGGGGCGTGACTTCCAGTTTTGGGAGTCCCCCAGGGCTGTGGAGATAGAGCAGCTGTTCTCATAGAAGCTGGGGTGGGTGTGGGGGCCGGGGGTCCACCCTCTTCTCCACCAGCTCCTCACCCAGCAATACCATGGCAACAGTAACTGCCATGGAAACTACAGGAGGGGCTGGAAAGGATGGGACTCCCCACAGACAGCCCCCCACACAGAGACATGGACTTTCCCGGAGTTCCTTCCCGAGAGGCCTCTCCTTGAGCAGATGGGCCCATACAGCCCTGGTGGGCCTGCGGGTGGAGGTCTCCAAGGTGCCACATAGGGGGTGCGGGGAGCCCAGGGCCCAGCTGGCGAGAATGCTAGGTGGTCAGGGTCTGGGCCAGTTGCCCACTGCCTCCCAAGGGCTGCTTAAAGGACAAGTAGCTTCTGGGAAGTAGAGACTGGAGGCAGGGCCATGGCTGGGGGTCAAGCCCCTCCCAGGGCCAAGATCTCCTGGTGCCCAGATGGGGAGGTGGCCCATCTCTGCCATGGCCCAGGTTCTCAAAGTGAAGCCCTCACGAGGCCTGCATCAGAATGCCCTGGGTAACCTGTCCAGACACATGCTCCCCAGGCATGCTGGGCTAGAATCTCAAGGGGGCTTCGCAGGGAGGCTGAATCCAGATTTTAAACAGATCCTCAGGTGGTTTCCATACTCCCTGTCAAGTTTGAGGACCACCTGCCCCGTGCTGAGGAGCCAGGGCCAGGCTGGCTCCTGCATTGAATCCTATATTGACCTTTCCCTGGCCTGGTGACTGGTGTTAGGACCCAGGAGGTCTACTTTCCAGCCTCACGCCTGGACAGACAGTGGGGGAGACCAGCAGGTCACCAGGTCTCAAAAGAGAGCTCTTTGCTCACTTCCAGGTTCCTGCCTGGCACAGGCCCCGCACGTAGTAGGTGCCCAGGCAACACTGAAAGGAATGTGCATGACTCAGCAGCTCCCTAGCTCTTCCCTTTCACCTGGACACACCATCCCACTTTAGTGCTGTAAGGGTCCCCTGGGTGCCCCTCCTTCCCCCCAGTGGGGATCTGGACCAGATCCAGCCTCCAGCTCCTGGTTAGGCTGAGGGAGGACAGAACAGGTGCCCAGAGAAAAGTGTCAGGCCCACCAGCCTCAGAGGCCACGTGCTGTGCCTGGTGTTGGGGGGCGGCTGCTGGCATGCCAGCTCTCCCCACTCATTTGGAGCAGATGGCGCATTCCCAGGGGGGCCGTGCCTGGCCATCTGCAGAGGCACCTTCAAACCTCAAGCGTGGGGAGACAAAATAAACACCTCTCAGGACCCTCAAATGCCACACTCCCTGTCTGAACTGGCGCTGTCACCCTGAGAGGGGTCTGGAGAAACTGAACCCAAGGGCTGACATGACCCCTACCCCTACTCTAGGACCTGAGACTTGGGGCCAGAGCTTGGGATCCTGGTTTCCAGGCCCTGCCGAATGCAAATGATGCCAGGAAGTAACGTGCTTAACTGGGCGTGCGCCTAGTGCTGGTCATTCTTCTGTGCCTCCTCTTTCTTGAGCTCTGATGTCAGATGGACCCAACATTGAAAGTCCCAGCTGTCATGTAGGAGCTGTGTGGCAGTGGACAAATGACCATGCCTCTCTGAGCCTCAGTTTCCACATCAGTAAAATGGGTTGCTGTGAGGCTTATATGAGCTGATGACTGAACCAATCGTGGCTGCTATGATTATAAATAATGACAGCTTGCTGGGCGTGCTGAGAGCATGGGCTGGACTCCCACAGCTCATCACCAGAAGGGGCAGCAGTGAGAGAGTTGGAAGGTGGGTTTCCTGGAGCCTGGCAGCCAGAGTGGGGGTGAAGGCAGGATATTTCCAGCCAGATCTTGACCCTGGACATAGAAGGCAAGGGGGGTGGGCAGGAGCGCCCTCTGAAGCAGGGAGCTGGGGTGCCAGAAAGGGAGTGGGTGGGCCAGGAAATACTGGTGGGAGGAGCTGAGGCTGCCCCCAGGCAACAAGACCCTTTCTGTTCCCGCTGCCCCAGGAGGCTCTGGGCGAGGCCCACATCACAGCTCATGAATTTCAAGCTGAGGTTTGAACACTGCAGGGCAGTTCTGGCCTTGGCTTTCCTTGATGTTCTGATGGCCCCGGGAGCAGGGACTGGGCTAGACCTGTTTGTCACAATATCCCAGCAGCCAGCACGGGTCTGGCATGTGGCAGACTCTCAGGACACCTGCACTGACCAAAAGATGGAAGATGAGCTCTACCATCGGCTTCATTGTGCAGGAGTAGAAACTGAGGCACAAAAGAGGAAGAGCTCGCCCAAGATCATGGTGCAAGTTGGTGACAAGGTAGGACCGGTACCCAGGGCTCCTGACTCGGGGTAGGCGCGCTCTCCACAGCAACCTTTCTCCCTATTAAGCAGAGCCTTTTACCTTCCCTTGTTCCTTATTCTCCCATCCTGCCTGCTTTCTTTCCCTCCCTCCCTCCTTCCCTCTCTCCCTCCCTCCCTCCCTTCTTTCCTTCTTTCCTCCCATCCATCCAAGTGTTGACTATATTTTCAAAATGGAAATAGATCTCTTTTGCCTCTAATTTTTAAAATAATATGTTATCCAGTTAAAAAGTTTCAGAAAATGGTTGGGTACAGTGACTCATG